AGTGAGAAAATACACAGGATCCTAATGTCCACACGTCCTCCCCCTTGACTTCAGGCAATCCTGAGGACCCACACCTTCCATCCAGTGAGAAAAAAAAGGGAACTAATGTCCACTCATCCTCCCCTTTGACATCAGGGAAGGCCTGAGGACCACACCCCTCCATCCAGTGAGAATAAAACCAGGAACCTAATGGCCACTCATCCTCCCCTTTGACTTCAGGGCAGGTCTGAGGACCCACACCCTCCATACAGTGAGAATAAAAACAGGAACCTAATGGCCACACGTCCTCCCCCTTGACTTCAGGCAAGCCTAAGGACCCACACCCTCCATCCAGTGAGAATAAAACCAGGAACCTAATGGCCACTCATCCTCCTCCTTGACTTCAGGGCAGGTCTGAAGACCCACACCCTCCATCCAGTGAGAAAAAAAAACAGGAACCTAATGGCCACTCATCCTCCCCCATGACTTCAGGGCAGGCCTGAGGACCCACAGCCTCCATCCACTTTGAAAAAAAAAAAACAGGAACCTAATGACCACTCATCCTCCCCCCTTGACTTCCGGGCAGGCTTGAGGACCCACACCTTCCATCCACTGAGAAATAAACAGAAATCTAATGGCCACACATCCTCTCCCTTGACTTCAGGGCAGGCCAGAGGACTCACACCCTCCATCCAGTGAGAAAAAAAAACAGGAACCTAATGGCCACTCATCCTCCCCCTTGACTTCAGGGCAGGCCTGAGGACCCACAACCTCCATCCAGTTTGAAAAAAAAAACAGGAACCTAATGGCCACTCATCCTCCCCCCTTGACTTCAGGGCAGGCTTGAGGACCCACACCTTCCATCCACTGAGAAATAAACAGAAATCTAATGGCCACACATCCTCCCCCTTGACTTCAGGGCAGGCCTGTGGACCCACACCCTCCATACAGTGAGAAACAAAAGGGACCTAATGGCCATTCATCCTCCCCCTTGACTTCAGGGCAGGTCTGAGGACCCACACCCTCCATCCAGTGAGAAAAAAATCAGGAACCTAATGGCCACTCATCCTCCCCCTTGACTTCAGGGCACGCCTGAGGACCCACAACCTCCATCCAGTTTGAAAAAAAAAAACAGGAACCTAATGGCCACTCATCCTCCCCCCTTGAATTCAGGGCATGCTTGAGGACCCACACCTTCCATCCACTGAGAAAAAAACAGAAATCTAATGGCCACACATCCTCTCCCTTGACTTCAGGGCAGGCCGGAAGACCCACACCCTCCATCCAGTGAGATAAAAAAAACCCAGGAACCTAATGGCCACTAATCCTTCCCCTTGACTTCAGAGCAGGCCTGAGGACCCACACCTTCCATCCAGTGAGAAAAAAACCCAGGAAAAACATAGGTGAAAGGTGACAAAACACGAGGAGAAAAATAAATTATTTAAATTGTGCACTGGCTAGGCGTTGAGTCCTGGTAGCAAAAATTGCCCCAGACTTCGCCAAAAGGCCTATCTCTAAAAGGTGCAGTGCAGAAATTTTTAATGCTGTGACCATGTGGCGTTTCACAGTGTGGGGTCCCACACCCAAATGTCACCAAGAGCACCCCTGGGGAGACCGCTCCCAGGGGGCACAGACGCCACAGACTCTGCCTTCCCAGCCCATTGCCGGACAAACCAGGGGGAACTGGGCCCATCTGGTTTCTCCAGGGGAATTACTCCCGGGCCCCAACTGCCTGTGGGCACCCCGTTTTCTCTTCCAGCTGGTACTAGCCTTCAGAGGCATCATCATACCAGCAAGGGCACTATAGAGCAAGCCATTCCTACCAAAAGGCAAGAATGATGGTGGAGCGCCCCTACTGGACACTGATAAGAACAGACACTACACTTGATCTTAGCCAAAAGGCTGACAAGCGATTATTGTGGAATATCATTTACATGCATTGCTGTGTTCTGTCAAGAGCGTGTCGTCGTGTGCCTCCAGCAATGTGACACTGATAACTCGTGGTCACAAAGGGGGTCGATTTACTAAAACTGAAAAGTGCAAAATGTGGTGCAGTTCTGCATAGAAACCAATCAGCTTCCAGGTTTTTTTTTTTTTTTTTTTTTTTTAGCCAAACAGGAAGTAAGAGGAAATCTTGAAAATAAGGGAATTTCTTAGGGACCCCCAGGTCACCAGAACTAGTGTCCACATTTAGAAGATTTCCCATCTATTATTTTTCTGGGGACAACCCAAAATTTGTGATTTTATTTTACTTTCACTTTCAGCCCTCCTGCACACTGGATGTCTTTGGCTTTTGACTTTTTTTTTTTTTTCTACGGCCAGTAAACCCCCCAGCATGTTATCCTATATGTCCATGCACACATAGACTGCAATCAACATTTTTTTGGCTGGAAAAAACCCCAGGACTAGCGGGTTTCTAGAGGAGTTTTTTTTTAGCTGTAAAAGTGCTCTTACGCTGAAAAATGCGACAAAACGTGGTAAAACGCCGCAAGCCAGCATTTTTGGACTTTTTTTGACCCCCAAATTTTTTTTTTTCACTTAAACGCTAAAAAACGCAGGAAAACGCTGCTAATCGCTAATGCAAAAATGCTAAAAAAACCTGAAAAACATGCACACATAGCCTGTAATTAACGTTTTTTAGCTCTAAAAGCGCTCTAAAGCTGAAAATTATGGCAAAACACGGTATAACACCCACAAACCGGCGTTTTGGGAATTTTGTGAACCAAAAAAACCCGCTAAAAACCGCAAACGCAGGAGAACACAGCTAAACGCTAATGCTAAAAAAAAGCTGAAAAACATCCATGCACATACAGACTGTAATCAACGTTTTTTAGCTGTAAAAGCGCTCTAATGCTGAAAAATGCATCAAAACATGGTATAACGCCGCAAACCGGCATTTTTGGACTTGTTTGGACCCAAAAAAGGCTAAAAAACGTAAACGCAGGAAAATGCCGCTTTAACTTGCCATGATCCCACCCTTTCTAAAAAGCCCTTTTTTAGTCACTTGACCCACTACTTGTGACTTTCCGTGGCACTTCTTTCCATAGTGAAGACTCCTGATCTCTCACTGCAGTCCAAGCCTTCTGTTGCCTCATTTGATGTCATCATGCTGCCCCTGGGGGTTTTCAGGAACCTTCCCACTGATGGGCCCAATAGGGAGTGCCTATGCTGCTGCCTGGTGACGTACACCTCCTATTGGGTGTATTGGTAAGGAGTTGAGACCAGAGATTCAGTGCTGTACCCTAGGACTGCTACTGAATGGTCTAGTTACTGCCCTTTGTAGTGATGTCATCATGCTGCCCCTGGGGGTTTTCAGGAACCTTCCCACTGATGGGCCCAATAGGAAGTGCCTATGCTGCTGCCTGGTGATATGTACACCTCCCATTGGGTGTATTGGTGAGGAGTTGAGACCAGAGATTCAGTGCTGCACCCTAGGCTTGACACTGAATGGTCTAGTTACCGCCCTATGTAGTGACATCATCATGTGTCTGCAGGAACATAAGAGGAAGAGTGAAAATCCCAGTGGTGAATAAATACCACCAAAATAAAGTTTTATCTGTCTCAAAAAAATGCCAGAAAATTCATATTAGGTGCAGTGTTGCATGACAGCCCAATTGTCATTCAAAATGTGATAGTGTTGAAAGCTGATAATTGGCCTGGACTTTGTAGGGGGTGAAAGTATCCAGACTGGAAGTAATTAATAGGAAAAAGTAAAAAATATTGTGTTTTTTTGTTTTTCAAAATTGTCGGGTTTTTTTTTTTTGTTCTTGTTTATAGCGCAAAAAATAAAACCGCAAAGGTGATCAAATACCAACGAAAGAAAAATTTATTAGTGGGGGAAAAAGGACGTAAATTTCATTTGGGTGCAGGGTTGCATGACCGCGCAATTGTCAAAGTATGATAGTGCTGAAAGCTGAAAATTGGCCTGGACAGGAAGGGGGTGAAAGTGTCTGGACTTCAAGCGGTTAACCCCTTCACGCTGGGGCCTCCTTGCCCTTTAAGGGTTTCAGAGGCGGGGCGGGGTTTAGGGTCATGTGACACGCCGTCACGGCGGTCACATGATCGGGAAAGGTCTCGATCGAAAGAGGAGATCGGGAGTTTTCTGTGAGTACCGAACATGTGTGCTGGGAGCGTGCAGGCCGCGCGCGCTCTCAGCACATATGTTCTTTTTTAATAGAACGCAAATGTGCGGCCGCTTGGCGTCTAGGCCGAGACGCAGGGAGGCCGCACATTTGCGTTCGGCCGGCGTGAAGAGGTTAAATAAACAAGCTGAAGGTAGAAGCTGATTGGCTGCCATGCACAGCTGCTCCAGATAATTGCACTCTCCAGTTTTAGTAAATCAACCCCAAAGTGACGATCAGAAGCTGGTAGTGATCACATGATCACTGCGACAGCCATTGGCAATCATCACAAGATCAAGAAGCCCATAAAAGCAAAAAAATGGGCCCTAAAACGGGTACAGAGGAAAAAAATAATACACACGTATGTGCAGGGGCAGACTGACCATTTGGAAACTCGGGCACTGCCCGAGGGCCCGGGGTCAGTAGGGGGCCCCATGAGATGCCCCTGGTACCTTTTTCATAGGCTTTTTTGAGTTTGGGCGAGGACACAGGGGCCCCATGATCCCCTATTGCTCGGGGGCCCCATGAGTTGTCAGTCCGCCCCTGCATATGTGGGAGGTAGAGGAACATTTATTACAGGGTTTTTTTGGTGGTGGGTCATGGTAATTGCAAGAAATATACCGTACAGTTTTTTGAGACCTTTTCTAAACATTTGTTTAGCCGTTTTTGTACCCTTCCATGTCTTATTTCCTCCAGATGGACGATACAGAAGGCCTAGTATGGAGAAAAGTTCTGTTACCTCTGCAGACGAGACAGACAATGAGACCACCTCTGGCTGGCCAGAAGGAGACACTATTACCCAAGATCTTCATCCATTGCTGGTGTGTGATTCCACCACACACACAGGTTGCTCTCCAGATCCGTCACCCAAGCTCTCCTACCAGACAGTTCCCATAGGGAATGAAACTTTTCCTTGTTTGGAGTGTGGAAAATCTTTTACCCAGAAGGCCGAATTTATTAAGCACTGTAAAGCTCACACGGTGGAGAAGCCCTATTCCTGTTCCAAGTGTGGAAAGTGCTTCACCCAGAAATCAGGTCTTGTCCGTCATCAAAGGACACACACACTACTCACACGGGGGAGAAGCCGTTCTCATGTTGTGAATGCGGGAAGTGTTTCTCCTGGAAATCATCCCTCATCATACACGAGAAGGTTCACACAGGGGAGAAGCCGTATTCATGTTCAGAGTGCGGCAAACGCTTCAGCGAGAGATCCAACTTGCTCAACCACGAGAGGACCCCACACTTCTGAGAAGCCGTTTTACTGTTCAGAGTGCGGAGAGTGTTTCACCCGTAGGGAAACCCTTGTCTCGCACCAACGGTCTCACTCAGGGGAGAAGCCGTATTCCTGTTCTGAATGTGGCAAATGTTTCTCCTGGAAGTATCAATTTCTCAGGCACGAGAGGAGCCACCGTGGAGAGAAGCCATATTCCTGTTCAGAATGTGGCAAACGCTTCACCGAAAGATCGAACCTTTTCCTGCATCAAAAAATTCATGCCAGCGATCGGCCTTATTTGTGCTCTGAGTGCGGGAGAGGTTTCACTAACAAATCAGCTCTAGTTAGACATCAGAGGTCTCACACGGGGGAGAAGCCATATTCCTGCTCCCTGTGTGGCCAGTGTTTTATCTACAGGTCTAGTCTGATACGACACGAGAAGGTCCACACCGGAGACAACCCGTATTCATGTTCCAAATGTGGAAAAGGCTTTAAAAACAGATCAAATCTGGTAAGGCACGAGAAGGCACACAATGGTGACCGCCCATACTCGTGCTCTGAATGTGGGAGAGGTTTTATCAATAAATCGGACCTGGTTGTTCATGAGAGGGTCCACACGGGTGATAAACCGTATCCGTGTTCTGAATGTGAAAGACGGTTTTCTCATAAGTCTTCATTGGTGGCTCATCTAGTTTCCCACAGGAGGCAGGAGAGCCTGTGTCAGGACACGGCTGATGAAGCGTAGTGTGGACTTGGTGCTTCTATTCCAAATCAGACCAGCTTAGTCCATACTTTGGCTGTTCTACAAGGAATCAGTAGACCAGATACGGTCTTATGTTACGTCTTTGAACAGTTCTCATATACATGTAGGATTTGTGAAGGTCTCTTACCCTACTCTTCTCGATGGTTCCACCACCTGCCGACCTAGCATAAACAGTCAAAAGCTTGGGTGAACTAAGCGTGCATATTTATGCATAGAAAATCTCTTGAGGTCTATGGCTATTTCAAGAGATTGTGAGCAGCTCAAAATGGAATTTTACATAATAGTCATCTCTAACATTGGACAAACGTTGGTTGTGGGTAGTACATTTTCCCGATGAGGTCTTTGGCCAATCGACACCAGTGCCAATTGCAGCGCTTGCCAGTAATGTGATACTTTCTTCCTTTCTTCTTCTCCATATCTGGAAGATGTCCCACTTATTCTCAGATTCTTCATTAAGTCAGATAATCTCTGTGCGTGATAACTGAAGAGGTGCCAGGTGGCCCGTTGATTGAGTGAGGTTCAAACTGGAACCAAGCTTTCAATGGCTACCAGTATTAACCCCTTCATGCCGGTGCCTCCCAGCCCTTTAAGAGTTCCAGAAGCCGGGAGGCGAGGTTTAGGGTCATGTGACCACCGTGACACGCTGTCACGGCGGTCACATGATCGGGAAAGCTCCGATCGAAAGAGGAGATCGGGACCTTTCCATGAGTACCGGACATGTGTGCTGGGAGCACGCGCTCTCGGCACATATGTCCTTTTTTAATAGAACGCATATGTGCGGCCACTCGGCGTCTAGGCCCGGATGCCGGGAGGCCGCACATTTGCATTCGGCCGGCGAGAAGAGGTTAATAATGACTTGAAATATTGGTGTCCTTGCATGAGGCTCTATGCACACGGGGCGCTTTGATAACGCTGGTAACGTTAGCTGTGTAAATTCATGTTAAAACCGTGAGTTTTTCAGATTTTTTTTTAGCGTTTTGCTGCGTTTTTTTCCACGCTTGCGGTTTCTAGTGTTTTTTTTTTTTTTACAAAAGAAAAACATTTTTTTTGTCCTCATGCACACGGGGCATTTTGATAACACTGGTAATGTTAGCTGTGTAAAGTCACATTAAAAACATGAGTTTTTCAGATTTTTTTTTTAGCGTTCTTATGTTTTGCCATGTTTGCGGTTTTTAGTGTTTTTTTTGTTTTACAAAAGAAAAAATTGAATTTTTTTTTTAATGCACATGGAGCGTTTTGATAACACTGGTAACGTTAGCTGTGTAAAGTCACTTTGAAAACCGGAGTTTTTTTTAGCGTTCTTGCATTAGCATTCAGCAGCGTTTAGATGCGTTTTTCCACGTTTGTGGTTTTTAGTGTTTTTTTTTTTTTACAGAAAATTTTTTTTTTAGCCCTCATGCACACGGGGCATTTTGATAATGCTGGTAACGTTAGCGGTGTAAAATCACGTTAAAAATGTGAGTTTTTCAGATTTTTTTTTAGCTTTCTTGCATTAGCGTTTGGCCGCGTTTAGCTTCGTTTTCCACGTTTGCAGTTTTTAGTTTTTTTTATTTTTTTTTACAAAAAAAAATATTTTTTTTTTGTCTTCATGTACACGGGAGATTTTAACAGCGGCTGTTTTTTGCTTTTGATGTTTTTTTCTACACCCAGTAATCCCCCCAGCATGTTATCCTAAGTATCCATACACACATAGACTGGAATCTAATGTTGGCTGGTACGTTTTTTGGCTGGAAAAAAAATCCCAGGACTAGTGGGTTTCTAGAGGAGTTTTAGCTGTAAAAGCACTCTAACGCTGAAAAATGCATCAAAATGCGGTAAAACGTCACAAACCAATGTTTTTGAATTTTTTTTCTATAATTTTTTTTTTTCCGCTAAACGCTAATGCAAAAACGCTAAAAAAGCTGAAAAATTTATTTAACGTGATTTTACACAGCTAATGATACCAGCGTTATCAAAACATCCCATGTGTGTGGAGCCTTTTGGTCAAAATAATGTCCAAAAATGCCACTTTTTTGACCAAAAGGCTCCATGCCTACTGGGTGTTTTGCCGCCGGTTTGCGAGGTTTTACTGTATTTTGCTGCGTTTTACACTCACCGGCCACTTTACGGCTCCATGCACACGGGGCGGTTTAATAGCGCTGGTAACGTTAGCTGTGTAAAGTCATGTTAAAAATTTGTTTTTCAGCGTTTTATTTAGTGTTTTTTGTATTGACGCTTAGCGGCGTTTTTTTCGCTTTGTGGTTTTTAGTGTTTTTTTACATTTTTTTTTTTACCCCCCCCCTAAAAAATATTTTATTTGGTCAAAAAAAGTCCAAAATTGCTGGTTTGCCGCGATTTACCACACTTTGCTGCGTTTTTCAGTGTTAGAGCGTTTTTTTACAGCTAAAAAACTCCTCTAGAAACCCACTAATTTTGGAGGTTTTTTTCCAGCCAAAAAATGTTGATTCCAGTCTATGTGTGTATGGATACATAGGATAACATGCTGGGGGGGGTTTTACTGGCTGTAGAAAAAAACATCAAAAGCCAAAAACAGCCGCTGTAAAAACATCCCGTGTGAATGAGGACTGAAGATTTTTTAATTTATTTATGAAATTTATTTATTTCAGACTTTTTTTTTCTTTTAAAAAAAAAACAACTTTAGACTCCTCTTAGGGCAAAGTTTAAAAAAGGAATTCCAACCTCCCCCCATATTTTTGTTTTTCCTCCACTGCTTACCTGATGTTGGGCTAAGGACTCAGATAGGCCGGTCATACATGGGTCGATTTCCAAACGATTTTCGGACAAAAATCGCTCTGTTAGTGGGGCAATGGCCGATTTTTCGTGGTTCTTCCCTCGTTTTCGGGCATGCTGGAAAATTCGTGAAAAACCAATGTTGGGGTATTTTCTGCTCCCACTGGCCACAGTCCGGCCCCCCTAAAGCCTGAAGGCCCTTTGCTTAGAAAGTTTGAAGATCCCTGGTCTGGGGGGGAGGGGTTTGTGTATCAGTGCTGTGCTGTTTGTTCATAAAGGCAGTCCTTGTTTTCTCCAACGTTGGTTGTGTCTGATGCTTGGGGCACATCTGCTATATTCTGGTCCCAGAGTGGAGGAAGCCGTAGTTTGGTGGAGATACCCAGTGGGGGTGTCAGGCAGTCTATCACAATCCCATTCTGCTCCGATTCAACAAGGGATTTGCTGAATGGAGCGACACGCCTCTGTATGAAAGGACACTAATACTTCAAACACTGAAAATAACGGTTTTGGGTGGACTGACCCTTTTATTTGTACATTCCGAGAAGGTAAAGTGCTGTTATGTGTACTTGTGAACAAAAGTGTCATTTTTGAAGCAATAAAATGAGACAAAACCTTTGTATCTGGCCATCATTTCTAGGGCCCTTTGCTACTGGCATTTCGATCAAGTCCCCCTCAACAGGACCTGATTGGAAGCTCTATGCAGCGATATGGACAGGTGGATGTTTACACCTGCCTACCTCCAAGTCCATCCCGGTCTGTTTTTCTGAACCTAAACATGAGGGATCGGAGGTAGGCTGCTTTCAGATGGAGTGGTGTCAGCTCTGATCAGCACGGGATCTGTGAGCAGATCCCCTGGTGAATCGGAGCTGGACGGGACGCCTGTCAGTGGTTTGACATCCATGCCTGTTCAGTTTGTATCCTGTGGATACAGGAGGACCTCCTCTGTGGAAAAGGAACAGAAGGGAGCGCCAACTAAGTGCAGTATTAAGACACAAGTTTATTAAAAAGCCAATAAGCAGGAGTCAGGGGGAGCTGATGGTTCCTGAGCCTAGACTACATTTTCCTGGTGGCCCAATTGCAGCAAATGGTTGGTTGGGATTCATTTGATAATACTGATCCCATTATAAGTTTGATTTCTCTTCCTGATTCCACCATTTTGGCTCTCTCTCATCTTGAGATGGCTCTACCAGTCCTTTCACTCATGACTCGACACAAGTTTATTAAGACACAAGTTTATTAAAAAGCCCATAATCAGGAGTCAGGGGAGGCTGGCGGGTCCTGAGTCTAGATTATATTTCCTGGTGGCCCAAATGCAGCAACTGGTTGGTTGGGATTCATTTGATAATACTGATCCCATTATAAGTTTGATTTCCCTTCCTGATCCCAGCATATCGGTTCTCTCATCTTGAGATGGCTCTGCCAGTCCTTCCATCCATGGCTCCAACCATGGACCTCTTGAGGCACATCTGGAGTGCAGTGAAGGAGTCCTTTCATATTACCAGGTTTTGCTCCTGTACCCCTTTGTGGCACTATCCGCAATATATAGAACTGGCTAAACTGGAGGGTCTTCAGGACTGGAGGGATCGAGGACTGAAATCTATATCTCAGCTGTATTTGGGGGTAACCCTAAAGTCCTTTTCACAATTGCAAACAAAATTTACATTTACACATACGCAATTTTATCGATATCTTCAGCTACGCCATGCGGTACAGGCCCAGTCTTCGCTCTCTAATCTCACATTGACAGACTCAGTTTTTCTTAAGGGTGTAATTCAGTCAACCCACAAGAAGGACATGATTTCTTGGGTCTACTCCCAGCTGTTGTCCATGGTACAGGACCACACTAGTCTCCAGGGTAGGGTGCAGTGGTCCCGGGATATTGGAGAGTTTGTTGGAGATGTCTGGAATGCTGCCCTAGAATCTGTTCTTGGAATTTCTCTTTCTCCTTCTCATAATTTGTCTCAATTGTTTATTCTCCATCGGGCGTGTAGGACCCTTGTGCAGCTGTACCAGTGGGGCAGGCTAGATTCACCTGATTGTCCAAGGTGTAGGGTCCAACAGGGCAATTTCATTCACATGCTCTGGCACTGCCCCAAGTTACATGGATATTGGAGTGAGGTTCTCCAGTTAATTTCTTTAGTATCACAATATACTGTTCCTCAGGATTCCTTACAAT